GGTCATCTCTGCATGTGTCGTTTGAATCATGATACGACGGATTTGCATTTTTGGGCTGTGTTTGTAGATTTGCTCCGGCGAGTCCGTCAACTGCCACACGTACAAATACAAGTGGTCTACTATCGATGTCAGAAAAAATGGCGTGCATGCACAGTTGTACATCTGATCGCCCGAAATGAGCGCTGCTTTGATTCTTGCCGTTTCTGCCAAGGATGGCTAAAAAGATGTCTCGCTCAGATATGCTTTAGCGCACATTGCAATTTCCATCTGTTGCGTTTTCTAGCACTGGAAGGTGGTCATCTATTTTCTTATGTGCAGACACCGATGCCGATTGAGGCGCGTCTGGTCAAACAGGACCTGGCTGGTTTAGTTTCTTTTCGCTGCATTTGATTTCGTCTGGTTGTAGCTGGCAGCGGAACTTGAAGCATGCAGACTTCGATTGCCTTTCTGCCTTTGCAATCTTTTGCGGGTTGGTGGAGCACCTCCGATGTCGAAATGTACAATGCCTTCACGTGAGTGGCAACAAGCATTTAGTCGTAGTGCCATGTGTCCCAATAGATGCTGCTGAATGTGCTGTGGCGTGTTTTTTCTCGCACTCTGCCGATGTATTTTGATGCTTCGGAATCAAGCATCATTGAGTGTCGTGAGCAAGTCAGTACGTATGATACAGCCGATTTCTTTTGTAACTTGGCGATTGGGTGTAGTTCATGCATACTTTTGATTTTGCCAAACATTCGATAGGTTCGATGTGTTTAGAACGTTCAGTAGGGTGTTGAAGCACACCGAACGTTGTTGATATCATTACTGCGGTATGTGCAGTGGGGGATCATTTTGATGCTAAAAGACTACCTGGCGGAATATGATCCATATTCTGGGATCCATGGATGGTTGGGCGAACTCATCAAGTGTGCATATTCCAGATTTGTCAGCTGAACTGTGTTGTTGTGTAGTGCTTCAAAAAGAGGCGTCGCATTTCGAGTCCGTTTCGGTGTTGCCAGAACTGTCTTGATGGACTTCGTTTCGAACATGATAGCCAATTCAAGGGGTGTGTCTGTTGAAATTAGTTGGCTCGTAGGATCGGTGTCTTCAGTAATCGTCAGTTGCCCTAACTGCCTGGTGGCAGTGCGAGCTCGTTTATTTTTCCCAGTGTTGTTGTTCTTGACCAGACAGTCTTTTGGTCGAAAGTACTTTCCAACGTATGTTCTGTTCATCTTTCCATTCAAAATAGAAAACTTGGGACCGGTGCCAAAAAAGACCCAGTTTGCTGAGTTGACCGTATGTTTGTGCCGTTTTCGTTTATTTGTACGCCAAGGGGTGGTTTTTACTGCTCATTTGACAGCTTTAGCTTGATCAAACATCCATCCCGTTTCTTGCAATAGTGCACGCCAACAAGAGCGCAACTTGCGCCATGAAAAGAACGCGAACCTCATTGATCGAAAACATGGGTTCAACGAACATCAAAGGTCCATTTCAGTTATAATAAGCGGTAATGCACGAACACAATAAGCATGTGCACCCCGTTCTAGCACCAGCCAAGTGGCCGCTGAGTTCACCAAATATATCGACCTTTTGATATCATTGCATTGGACAGATTGACATGCGGAGATATCTGACGGAGCACTACAATGCAATTGAAGCGGAAAAGTATCGGCGTACTCCTGCATGGGTCCGATGAGAACCTTTTCAGCGAAATCAAAGTGCATATTTTGAGCTATCATTATGCGATTTCTTCCAATACGTCTTACCAGCGTATGCGCAAACCCTAGTATGGCAGAGCGGCAATTCCTGGCCATTTGGCGAT